TTAGCCTTGGCTCAAGCTTTGCTCGGGTAACCCTTTCCCAGGCTACCTCCAGTATAAGAATCCTATGGCCCCATCTTCCAGAAATTTTTTTTTGGGGGGAGAGCCTCAGCCTTCCACAAGCTCAAGTAGATGAGCTTCTCATGATTTAAGATTTCCAAGGAAAGAATACCCTAAGAGGGCTCGTGTGTGTGTGTGTGTGTGTGTGTGTGTGTGCGCGCGCGTGTGCGTGTGCATGTGTGTGTGTGTGTATCTCACATATCTTTTGTTTGTTTTGCGGAACCGGGGATTGAACTCAGATCCTTGTGTTTGCCAGTCAAACACTTATCCTACTGAGCCATCTCCCCGGCCCCTACATATCTGTGTTAGGATTCCATAAGGTCTAGCCTAAATCCCTCTGGCTGCACTAAAAGCCCACCACTGAAATAACTAAATTTCCTTTTATTATCTCCCTGAGGAGTGAGAAGCGGGCCTCCAGTAGCTTTCCAGCCTGCTCTCTCTCAGCCAGCTCTTCCCAATAGCCTCCTTTTGCCTCTCTAGACAACTGTCCTTCTTCCAAGTTAAACTCATACTCCATCCGGGGTATCAAAGTCCACCGAGGGCTGAACTACAGCAGTCTGACCACTCTATTTATCTCTGTTCCCCTCAAGGCTAACGACACGTACCTCACAATCACCCACCCTGACTCTCCTCCCTCTGCACCAATCTTAACGTGTTTCCCCATTTGTCAGTTTGGTGAAGCTGAGAGATGAGGAATTGGGTCAGAGTCACGATGGCATCGATTTCCTCGGCTCTCCCTCCTTTTCTGGCCTGGCTGTCCTCCCTCCTCACCCCAGTCTATTTTTAGCCTGCCTCTGTTTTCCTTTTTCTAGTTGGCAACCACCGCGGGCCTCTTTCTCTGTCGCCCTTATCTCTCCCCTGCAGCCTTCTCGTGCCCCAGCTGACCTTCCAGAGGTCTCTGACTGCCTGCCTGATTGATTTTGATTCTCTCCCATCTTGGAGATATGTAAGGGCTGTCTGGCCATGCTCAGGTGGAAGAGATAATTGTTTGGGCAAATCCTTTAATATTACAGAAATGCAAGTCATCCTTCTTCTGCATTGACCTTTGTCTTCTTTTACAACCATAGGTTACTCCCTCCATCTCTTCTTCCCTCTATCATTCCACCTTGCCCCACCTAAGAAACACTCTCTTCCTCTCATTTGAACATTTGAGGCCCACTGCCTTTGACTTGGCAGTGTGCAGCACCCCAGGAGATCCTGCCCCCTTGCTGATCACCTCCACCAGTCTCTTTGTTTTGTTTTCTTTGTGTTTGTTTGTTTGTTTTGTATTTAGTACAAGGTCTACAGGGTCTCACTACACAGATCAGACTCATAGTGATCCTCCTGTTTTTAGCCTCCCAAGCGCTGGGATTACAGGCGTGCCCCACCACACCCAGTCTCTGTCACCCTCTCAGCACACCCTGGGGGCAGGGTCAGCATGGCAAGCTGGGGATCGAACCCGGTCAGTACACCTGAAGTCTCTTTCTATTTAGTTCTTCATCTTGCTCCATTCCTTGCTGCCCTCATCCTTCCTTGCACACTTGTCCTGCCCCACTGGCCCTGCGCTCCTAGTCCCTTTCCTAGCACACTCTGGGCTGTCTGGTTAAGGCCTTGTCAGCTCAGGCAGGGCTTGGAAGCGTCCCCCACTTGTCCTTTCTCAGCTTCCTCTAGACATTGGTCCCTTCCTTTAGCTGTCACCGTGGAGCTGCATAAGCTGGATATTTTGGAAGGGGAGCTGCAGCTGGCTGGGGGAAGAGGGGGTGGACCAAGCAAGAGGCAGAGAGGACTTTAGGCAGCTGTGGAGCCAGAGGGGACGTTCCAAACGGCCTTTCTTCTCAACTCGGCTGGTGGGAAAGCTGCTGGGATCACACTGCAGTCCCTCTCTCTATCTCATTTCTCTCTCTTCCTCAATCACAACACAATATCTTGTTGTCCAATGCGTTGTATTCTTTTACATATGTCCAGCTAGCCATGTGGCTCACTCTTCCTTCTCCACATCTACAGAGAAGCACCCTCTTCAGTGAGCCCCACCTTGACCACTTGTCAAAAGGTCAGATTCTCCCCCAGTGCTCGCTATCCTCACCCTACTCTGTTTTCCCCCTAAAGCAGGCATATTAACTTCTAATATATGGTAAAATTCACTTACAGTTATTGCTTACATGTCTTCTTGCCTGATTGTAAGCTCTGTAAGAATACTTTTTTTTTTCTTTTTGATACATGGTCTCAATATGTAGTCCAGGCTAGCCTTGAATTCACTATGTAGCCCAGGCCAATTTCAAATTCTCACAGCTCCAGTTCCAGAAAAAAAAAAAAAAAACAGAATTACTTAGGCTTGGGGGCCAGGGAGATGGTTCAGTAGAATAAGCACTTCCCTGGCAAGCGCAAGGGCTTGAGTTTAATCCTCAATTCTGAAAAAAAAAGAATTACTTAGGCTATGTTGTGAGCTCAAGGCCAGCCTGAACTACATAACAAGACCCTGTCTAAAAAGAGAGAGAGAGAGAGAGAGAAATTCGCACAGCTAGTCTCCTGCCTCGGCCTTTCCAGTGCTGGGATTACAGGTGTACACCACCACACCCAGAAAGAATACAACTTTTGGGGCCAGCTAGCCAGCTCAGTGGATTGTTTGTTTGTTTGTTTGTTTTTGTATTTTTAGGGAAGGGTGTTCAGGGTCTCACTACTAGATCAGACTCGTCGTGATCTGCCTATTTACAGCCTCTCAAGAGCTGGGATTACAGGTATGCGCCACCATGCCCAGTCTCAATTGCTGTTTCAGTGCACCCCAGGGCCAGAGCTGGCATGGCAGGCCGAGGGATCGAACCCCAAGCTCCTATGCCTGCTTGCAGGGGCTTTAGTCCACTGAGCTATTTGGCTGGCCCTGCTCAGTGGATTAAAGTGCCTGCTTAGGCAGACTCAGGGTCCAGGGTTCGATCCCTGGCATGCCCTGCCAGCCCTATCCCCAGGGCACACAGAAAGGGCAACCGAGACTGGATGTGGTGGCATGCGTCTGTAATCCCAGTACTTGGGAGGCTCAAAACAGCAAAATCACTACAAGTCCAATCTGTGCAGTAAGACCCTTATAAAGCCCATACTAAATACATAAAAAAGAATAAAGCTTTTAAAAATATATTTATGAAAATATACATATATATTTATGGAATGAATGAATGAATAAATGAAATATAAACTGGGCATGGTGGCCCATGCCTGTGAGTTCAAATCCTGTCTTGGTAATTTAGTGACTTTCCTAGATTCGTTTCAAAAAATAAAAAAAGCTGGGGATGTAGCTCAGTGCAAAAATCCTGTATGCAATACCAAGTCCTGAAAAAAAATATACATACATACATACAACATAAACTTTGCCATTTTAGTCATTTTTAGGTATGTACTTTAGTGACATTAAATACATTCATATCGCTGTGCAGCCAATCGCTAGAACTCTTTTCATCTTGCAAAACTAAAATTGTACTGGTAAACAGATCCTCCCTCTAGCCCCGGCAATCATTCTACTCTCTATGAATTTGACTACTGTACTCATACAAATGGAATTGTACGGCTGGTCCTTTTGTGTCTGGCTTGTTTTACTTAACATAATGTTCTCAAGTTTCCTCATGTTGGAGCTTATATCAGACTTTTTTCTTTCATCTTAAGGCTGAATAATGTTCCATTATGCATACTGCATTTTGTTTATTCATCCATCTGTCAGTGGATGTCTGGGTTGTTTCCACCTCTTGGCCATTGTGAATTATGCTGCTCTAAACGTGGGTATGTAAATATCTTTCTGAGACACTATTTTCAATTCTTTTGGGCATACACCCTGAAGTAGAATTGTTGAACTATATGTACCTATTTTTAATTTTTTGAAAAATCACTAAAGTGTGTTAGAACAAGGATTTGTATCTGTTTTATTTACGGATATATGCAGTGCCCGGCACATAGTAGATGCTAAATGAATATTTGTGCATTGAATAAATGAGTGAGTGAGTGCATGCTCTTATTTGGACTTCACACGTCCCTGTAGAGTTGATCGGTATGATTGTTCTCATGTTATAGAGGCCGAGGCTCAGGGAATCACTTGAGATCACCCAAAAGGCAGAGTTGGCATAGTGTTGACAGAACCAGCTGGCATTTATTTATTTATACTGGGAATCGAACTCAGGACCTTGCCCTTGCCAGGCAGGCACTGTACCACTGAGCTATATTCCTAGCCCTCAGCTGGCTTCCATAACCCAGTGGAGAAATCAGTGCTAATACATGTGCCAAGACCTTTAAGGACTGAGGCAGTTAAAGAGTGATTTCCTCTGTATTGTATTTACTTTGGGAATATTTTGACTCTCATTTGCTTTGTTCCCCACTCAGCGATTCCTCCTACCACATACACACCACCCAGTCCTGTCTTTTCTCTCCCTAGAGCATTGAAAATCCCGATCTCTGGGGGTGGAACTGGCCCAGTCTAGAGGTCTCCCCATTTGGGTTTCACCTGAGTGCACCCAGCCTTGCCCGAGTCCCCGTTGACACCTCAGCTCTCTGCCCACCCTAGGGTGGTTAGGAGCCTGTTCCCTTCCAAAGCAATTAGTGCAAGGAGGCCAGCCGACTCGGTGCTAATGCTGTTTCATTAAGTGGGAGCAATCCTAATGATAATAAAATGGCACATTTAACATTCAAACATTGAACAGGGCTTCTAAGCGAGTGTGTCTCTCTTCTTCTTTCTGGTATAACAGCTCCATCTTCATAAGGACCTGACAATACACCTTAATGAGGGACTGGGGAGCGGAGGGAGTGTCTTTGCAGATCCAGAGAAAAGATGAAGATCAGACAAAGAAAGGGGGTGCAGTACCGTGCAGAGGGGTGATCATGATGCTGTGGATTCCTGGGGGTAGCAGATTCTATGATGCTAATTTAGACAATTAGAGCCTGCTGCAAGAAATAAGATCACATAGAAAAGAAAGCCCACCACAGACTTTTATGGAATGCAATTATTTGTTTATTCAACGCATTTTTTCATCAAACATTTATTGTGCAGCTATGAGACTTGATGAGTGTGATGGAGGAAGACTCTGTCCTAGGAGGGCTCCTTAGTTTTAGGGAAAAGGACCCCCAAGAGTACTAGTGGTCTGTAGGAGATCATCTTGTTTACCCTCCCCTGAAAAGATTTAGTCAAATCTACCCTAAGTCCCAGAAAAGAGAATCAAATTAAGAGAAAAGAATGTGTCTCGGGGTCACTTCCCAGAACTCTTCCCAGCAGAGGCCTGGGTGCAGAAGGCAGTCCAGCCATCAAAGGTGGGCTTTGCCCAGGCCGGAGAAACGGCTTATGCGAAACGGTGCCAAGTCATAGGATGGCACTGATTTCATGCTTAATTCACACAGGATCTTCCCCACAACCGGGGCCAGCTTGAATCCATGACCTAAGAGAAGGAGTAAATGGTCATGCATCCGCAGGGACCTAGAAGCTCAGCTCTTGAAACATTCCCTGCTTAACCAAACAGGTTACCCCTCTGCTTTATCTCATCTGAAACCTAGTCACTACCTCTCACTGCAAGTCTCCCTCCGTGACCACCCAGCCTCTTTATACACTACATGTCTGGCCTCTGACACTTGGGCAGCTAAGAACATGGAAAATATCATTTTGCCTGGCACTGAGGTAGATCAGATTGAAGGCTCCCATATCCCCCTCTTTGGGCTCACCAGAGAATCCAGCACCAATGACAATATTGTCGTACTTCGGGTGATGATCAAGAACAAAGTGCTTATCAGGGGTGTTCTAGAAAGAAATAGTTACACCTATGTCAGCTAAGGACAGGGAGAAGAGGAATGACAGGCTCTGACAGGAGAGGCTTGGATTGGATTTCTTTCCAGAGAGAAAGGATGGGGCACAGGCATGTTTCCTGCATGCCAGGCACCCCTGTGGTTCTGCCAGTCTTTCTCATCTGTCCATCTGTCTCTCTGCTCCTACTGAGCCATGAACACAGTAGGTGCTCATTTCATCTTTATGAACCAACTTTAGCCAAGATGCCTCAGGCACTGGTGACATCTGTCTCTTCTCTTTGTCCCTAAGGCCTGTTCAACTGGAGCATCTTGCCAAAAAATCTTTTAAAGCTCTTCTGGGAAATATAGTGAAAGGCTGCCAGGCATAAACCTAGTTGCCTAATGTAAAAGAATATGAATAACCCCTAGTGGGCCCTCTCTGGTGGAGGTGGACCAACCCATAGAAATTAGCTTCCTTGTTTCAGGTCATGTTGTGTCAGGGGTCAAATGTGGTTGGTCCTGGCTAGTACAAGGTCTACCTGTCTCCTTCCTGGCCTCCCTTACCGTGTACATGCAGCGCTCCATGATGGCAGGCTCAGACTTCAGGTCAGGGAAGTAGTCTTTGACAAAGTGGCGTAGGATTTGGACATCTTGGACATGTGTGAAAGCCATGGGGTAGTCCCGCTCCTCGGGGTCCACATTGTTGCCATGGTGAAGGCAGATCTGGTCACCATTAGAGCAGTTTGGTCAATAAGGCTGACCCCGCACTCCACAGAGGGGCAGCTTTGTACATAGGATGTCCCCATCCATCCTCCTGGCCTTACCCCATCCTGACAGATGCTATCTGCTGCTACCAGAGGTTGCCTGATGTCAGCCCCTGCACCCCCTATGTTTACAAAGGAAAGACTCTTCTGGCTGGGCCTTGGGATAGCTTAGGGTTTTGCTCTGCAAACAGCAAATAGTGAATACATAGTGAAGCTAACTCCACTACTGCCCACCAGAACAGGGGAAGTCTGTGGAGGGGCTAATTCAAGCAGCCACCTCACTCTGCCTCTCCACTTACCTTCACCAGCCCAGGATATTCTCCCCCAGGCAGCCCATAGATATGATGGGGAGCCTGGTCCAGGAACATGAAGCAAGGAAAGGCCTGGGACACACTGTAGCTTCCAGGAACCTTCTCTCTCCAGTAACACACATTGATCAGTAGAATCTTGAAGTATGGGAGGAAGTGGGACACAAAGAGAAAACCATGGAACTCTACAGACAACAGAGTTCCTTCTGGAATCCAACAGTACTTTCACACTTGTCCCTGTCTAAACCAGTTCTCGCTTCATTTCCTTGTTGAGAGGAAATGACATTATGAGGCATAAAGATCTCCAGACTCCTATGCCTTTCCCCATAGCTGTAACCCAGCCTCACTTTTCTGTCATTCCAGAAGTTCCAGTAACACCTTGTATTTATTCAGTGTTTACTGTAAACCAGACCTTCTTCTAAGAACTCTATATATACTATATAATTTAACTCTCCAACAGTCCCTTGAGGTAGCTATTAACCCCATATTGATAAAACTTGAGGCACCACAAGCTGAACTAATTTACCCAACATCTTTCACTAGTAAGTGGCAGATCCAGAACTCAATATCTAGTCTACCTGGCCCCAAAAGGTCTCTTAAGCATTCACTCTCAGGATGCCTACTTCCCCTACCTGGAGCGGTAAATCAATCCCTAGGGGTTGGAGCAGCTTTTTGGACCAAGGACCTGCTGTGATGACCAAGCTCTTCGCTTGGTAGCTCCTGGAGGTGGTTTTCACTGTGACCGGGTCCCCAGGTCTTATCTCTATCACCTTTTCTCCATCATGCACTGTTCCTCCAAACCGGTGAATTCCATCCTGAAAGGGCAGGGAAAGGCAAATTAGTTAAATATGTTCTTCGCCCTGGTGGACAAAAAGGCCTTCACTTAAAGCAGATAAGAAAGTGTAGAATCTAGATCTCCCCTCCCAGGTTCATAAGGCCAGCAGGAGTATAAAAATGCCCTGCACTAATGGTCAAGACCAAAGGCAGGGGCTGGTGAGATGGCTCAGTGGTCTAAAGCATCTACTTAGAACAAGCTTAGCAAAAAAGCACAGGGACCACGGTTCAATCCCCCAGCACCACATGCCAGCCAGCCCCGCCCCCTGGTGGGCTGAGCTGGCCACACACACACACACACACTCTAAATAAATAAATAAATAAATAAATAAACTTTTAAGACCAAAGGCAACAGAGCAAAGGCCCTCACTTTGGGGTAGGGGGCGGGAGGATTCTGGGTCTAGCTGGCTGATTTGGGAGCCAGGATGTCCAGAGCATTTTCCAGGGCTGTGCAACATTACCTGAATGGCTTTGAGAGCTTTGTCTGCATAAAGGACGCCTCCAGTCTTATCTAAGAGCCCCACTTCTCCTCTGGTGAACCGGAGATTTGGGAAATGTTGCTTTAGTTCCTCAGATGAGAGATACTGGTGTTCTATCCCCTGCCTACTCAGAATGGCTTCCATTGTCTTTAATTCCAGATTCTCCTTCTTTCCTAGGAGCAGTAGTTCAGTGTTCCTGTTAAGCACCAAATAAATAAATAAATAAGCCTGGTGAAGGGCTGTGTCAGGGCCTGGTATTCATTTGCTGTCATTCTTCAGCTGAAGGGAATCATGACCTTGTATTCAAAGAACAGATGAAACCATCCAGTTCTACTTCCAAAAGCCCCACTTCTCAGGTGAACTAGAGATTTGGAAAAAGTTGTTTTCCCAAAAGATGAGTGATGCTGTAAGAGTACTGGTGCTCTACAGGTGGTTTCCAGCCTATTTTCAAGTTTACGTGTGGTTTGCCTGTCCCTCCATCCTGGCCCTGAGAACAGAGGTCCTAGGTCCTTTCATCTTTCATACACCTAAAGGTGCTAGGTGTCCAGCCAGATTCCTTCTCCTTTTTCCTGTCCCTGACTCATTCTTTATGTTCCTCTCTCTATTCTTTTTCTTTTCTTTTCTTTTCTTTTCTTTCTTTCTTTCTTTCTTTCTTTCTTTCTTTCTTTTTTTTTTTTTTTAATCGGGGATTGAACTCAGGACCCTGTGCTTGCCAGTTAAGCAGTTATTCTACTGAGCTATCTTCCTGGCCCTCTCCCTCTATTCTCTATCCTCTTCCCAACCCCCACTGTTTGTTTTCCTCTTCCCTTTTCTTGTCATATAACATCTGTCCCTTGCTGTGTGTGCCCTTCTCAATTCTTTCTCAGAGACTGCCTGTTTGGTGGAAAGCATTCTAAATTGGGAGATCTGGCTCTCCTTCTAAGCCTGGCATCACCTTGGTATGACCTTGATCCAGTCATTCACCTCTTGGGGCCCAGATTCTTCTTCTGTAATATGTGCTTGTTGAACTATTGGTGGGGTCCCTCTCCTACCCACAGCCAGGAGAAATGGTATGGACCACATTGATAGTTGTTGCAGTGTCTGAGGTTGCCACTCACAGTTAATGAGCAATGGTCAGGAATACTAAATCTACAGCGCTCAAGAAGATTCCACTCCAAATACCAGAAGCACTTCCACACGTAAACACCAATAGCTGGTCTCTTTGAGCTCTAGCAATAAATTCAGTGATCCTCTAATTTTGTTTTTCCCTTACACCTCTCTGTCCTTCTTATTCTGGAAGAGAGTAAAAGCAGTCTCTCTTTAATGCTTCCTGCACCTGTCACCAGAAAGCAGAGCTCTTTGGGGGACAACGATCTAAACAATGGGAGGGTCCATCTGCCCATGAGCCCATTCCTGTGGTTCTTCTTGGTTTCAGCAGCCACAGTGACCGGCTGCAGCCTGATACATCCCCCAGGTACTGTGTATAAAGCTCGTAATAGCCTATAATGGAGTCTCATGGATATTACATGGTTCCAAATCCCACATTATCTGGTTGGGGGGATTAAAGAGAAGATTGGGAGGGGGTAGAGACACAGCGGACTCGGGGGCCGGTGTCAGTACACAGAGCCGCGCAGCGTGCCCAATCCATTTGCCATGGCCTCCGCCTACCCGGCATTCAGCAGTAGCGAGATAGCGGCGCCAGCTTCTGCCACTTCAAAGCTCAGCGGAGGAGAGACGCGGTAGAAATCCCCAGCAGCCAGGAGACAGACTCTTTTATGTGGCCCCCCAAAAGGACTTCAGATTGGTTCTCAAGTAATGAAAACTTGCCTAGTATAAATTTCTCGGTCAACAAAATAATTTAGAAGCCCCATAGGGCCAGACATGGTGGGCACATGCTTATAATTCCAGATACTCAGGAAGCTGAAGCAACAGCATTGCAAGTTCAAACCCAGCCCGGAGGACGCAGCAACTTAGTGAAACCCTGTCTCAAAATAAAACACAAACAGTGGGGTCTAGGGATGTAACTCAATGTAAAGGCCTTGAGTTCAAGACTCAGTACCACAAAGAAATAAAAAAGAGGGGAGCTGGTGAGATGGCTCAGTGGTCTAAAGCACCTACTTAGAACAAACTTAAGCTAAGCAAAAGCACAGCGACCGCGATTCAATCCCCAGCACCACATGTCAGCCAGCCCCGCCCCCTGGTGGGCTGAGCTGGCCACACACACACACACACACACACACACACACACAATAAATAAATAAATTTAAAAAAAAAGAAATAAAAAAGAAGCCATGTCAGGCCAAACATAGTAGTGAACACCTGTCATTTTAGCTCCTCAGGAGAAGCACTAGTTCAAGACCAGCCCAAGCAACTTAGTAAGACTCTGTGTCAAAACAAAATTAAATAGGATATCATGTCCGCATCTTGTACAGCAATTAACCACTAGGACGAATGTATGCAATGTGTTAATTATTGAAACTGTCTACCAATTTGATTTGAAACTGTCTCATTGCTATTTGTTTCTCGATAAAATTATGGAAAAAAAATTAAAAGAGCCGGGGAGATAGCTCAGTAGAATAAGTGCTTGCCTGGCAAGCGCAGGGTCCTGAATTCAATCCCCGGTACTGAAAAAAAATTTTTAAAGGGCCAGGGATCTAGCTCAGTGGTAGAGTACTTGTTGTATAAGGTGCTGGGTTGAATTCCTAGCAGTATGAAGAAGAAAAAGGAAAGATGGGGAGAAGGATGAGAAGAAGGAGGACTTGCTATCACATGGGAGATGGCGGGGGTACAGCTCAGCGGAGGAACATTTGCCTAGCATATTCAAGTCTCTGGGTTCAATCCCAACAGTGGGGAAAAATGTTACCAGGTGTTTTGTTTTGTTTACAATGCTAGGGATTTGAAGTCAGAGCCCTGTGTATGCTATACAAGTGTTCTACCACTAAGCTATACCCCAGCCCCAAGTGTATATTCTTGTCCTTTTTACTTATTGGGATCCTTGTTGGGTACAGTTCTGGGAAAGCCCTGGCTTACACCTCACCTAAGCAGAGGCAATGTCTCTGGCATGAAGACTCCACAGCAGTGTGTTCTAACCCCTGCTGGCAATACAGCAGGCTTGGTCACTCCTGCTCTGTGAGATTTACTTTCTCTTTTCCCAGCTTTCCGTCTCTCCTGTCTTCCTTCTTTCCATCTTCCTCCCTTCTTTCCTTTTACAGGGACATGTTGTCTGGGAAAAGTGAACTCATGCCAAGACAACAGGCAAATCTCTCAGATTATGAAATGCTGAGTGATGTTCTAATTCCCAAGCTGTCCTGTGGTGGATGAAGCGGGAGCTCCCCATCCTGAGGAGTAATCAGTGAGCTGATTCTGCCGGTGAATGTAATTGTGCCGATTGTAATCATTTTGCTCCAGCTCTCTGCCCCTGTGGCATTTATTTTTTAGCCCAGATATTGATCTAACAGTGGGAAATTTTCCATCTGAATTTGTGATGGCAGACCCTCCCCTCGTCCAAAGACGTGTTTGGGAAATTCTCATTTTCCGTGGATCACAGCTGAGCTATTTGGCCTGAGGGAAACCGTGCTCTGCTGGAGAAATGCCTTGGATTGGAGAGAGATTTTTGACCATTATGAGCAAATCGGAAATAAATGTAAAACACTGCCTGGAAATGCAAAGGCCTGTCATTATGGGAGATAGGTGAGAGGCTCCTATGGGAAATGCTCAGAGAATTGGAAATCAGTCAATCAAAACCTGGATTGGAAAACGGGTCTTTTCCCCCCAGTATGAAGATAGATGACTTCCATGGGCAGATTGAAAATCATTTAAGTGCTTATTTTCTTAATGGCTTTTCCTAGATACCAATAAATAGACTGCTCATTCTGCATTAATTTCTCACCCCTGTGCTCTGGGCTTTCCCCTCCTCTTTTTCTACTCAGACCTATGCTACAAAGTTTGGGAAGGAGAAGGGTGAGAAAGGACAGGCATCTGCAAGGGAGAAGTGACCAGGAAATGACAAGTCAGGACAGGACTAAAAAGAAGGGTTTGAAGCCAGCACAGGCGTGGACAGGGAACTAAAAACTTTGAAGATTCCCCCTGCCCAAAATGCCCATCAGTATTGAGAGCTTTTAGTATGAATTATGCTTCTCTCCCAATCTCAGCTGGATCCAGTGCCAGAGGCCACTGAAGATTCCTCCCAAGGGCCTCTTTGGTGGCAGACTAATGCCTTGGGCATGATGCTAGAAGCTGGAGAGCTGGGATTTCCACCACTTACTACAGTGAGACGGGTGTGGATGGAGCAGGGAGGACCTGGTAGGGGAGAAACGGCTCTCCCTGCTCTGCCAACTTCCATTGTGGGCTCCAGCTTTCCCCCCTCACTCACCCGCTTAAAAGTGCCAGGCAAGCCAGCTCTGAGTCACCTTGGGGAAGGGACTCAGTAATGGCTGCTGTCTTTGTTGGTTTTGGAGGAGCTCTCTGTGTTTCATCTTCCGCTCAGTGGGCCGAGGAGGAATTGGTTAACAAAGACTGCTCCAGGGAGGGGATGTGGCTGACAAGCCAGACACTTCGCAGACACAGGAAGCAGCAGCTGCGGAGGGGGCCACCAGGTTCTGCCAGCAGCTGTACTGCCTACGGCTGTGATCTTGTCTGATATTGTGAGCGAAGAAGGGGCAGCCCGGGTCATGAGCTGGATAGTAGGACTCAAAGGGAGAAGGCGGGGCAGGAAAGAGATGGGCCACGGAGCTGGGCTTTGCTGTTGGTATCAGCATCCTGGCTGTACACATCACAAAAGATTCAGACCTTGTGATCTGACACATGTGTCATTGTCTGTTCCCAGAATATATGCAAATATTCTGAGCCCACCCATATATAGTATGCTGCTGTCATAGGAAGCAGCAGAACAGAATAAAAAGAATTGGACAGCCACCTTCATACCAACTCCTAAAGGCTTTTGTTTTTTAATCATTATCAAATGGCATTATGTTCCTTTCTATCGGCTATGGTATTGTGCTGGTTCTTCTAGCATTGGGGTAGAAGAATCACAACGATGATGAATCATTTAGAAAATCAAAATTACATGTAAAAGCTAAAATAATTTGAATGACATTTAGCCCAGGTAGAAAGGTATATTCAGATACCACCCCCAGAATGGGCGGTATCTGCTCTGGGTTTCTACTAGTAAAGGAAGTAAAAAATTTAGCATGCCTGCGTAAATTAGGTTAGCATAAGATACTGCTTGTTAATGATAGAATAATAACAACAATGATAATAATACTTAGTGCTCCAGCACTTTAAAGATTTTTAAAGTACATTCACATCATTCTTCATCTTTCATAATTGGGGCTGTGATGGAATAGGCTTTTAGCATGGGTTATGATATTTCCCTGGCTTTAAACGTGCAGTAGCAGTATTTTGACCTAGAATGATTGAGGCATGAACTTGTTTGGAGGTGGTGTAATGGGCAACATAACTGGTTTGTGGTATCATTCAGATCAGCGGCCAGTAGACTACAACCAAGGGAGCAAATCTGGCTTCTTGCCAGATCCACACAGCCAACATATCATATATCTGGGACTTCAGATTGAATGTAAGACCTTCACACTGAGCCACATTCTGAGCCTTATTTTATTTTGAAACAGGTCTCACTAAGTTACCCAGCCTGAGCTTGAATTTAGCAATCCTCCTGCCACAGCCTTTCAGAGTGCTGGCTTCACAGGTGTGTGGTACCATGCCCAGCTGGTTATATATTTTTAAATGGTTGATTTAACAAAATCAGAAGAAGAGTTGGGTTTGATGGTGCAAGCTGCTTAGGAGATTGAGGCAGAAAGATTGCAACCTCAAGGCCAGTCTGGGCAACTTCATGAGACCCTGCCTCAAACTAGAAAAATTAAAAAGGGCTGGTAATGTAGCTCAGAGCTCCCTAGGTTTAATTCCCAGTACCAAAATAAAATAAAAAGTATAACACCTTATGACACAAGAAAAGTATATAAAATTCAAATTTCCATGTCCAGATTTATTGGAACGCATCCAGGTTCGTTTACTGCCATCTTGTCTGTGGCTGCTTCCACACTACTATGGCAGAACTGCCTAATTGCAGCAGAGAACATATGGCCTGCAAAGCCTGAAATACTATGTGGCCTTTATAAAAAAGGTTTGCTGAACTCTGTTCTTAGACTAAGAGTATAGTAATTCTGTGATTTCCATTAATGCATTCAGACTCCAGTGTACTATAGGCATGGCAGCACACGCCTACAGCCTATAGTCCTATAGCTACTTGGGCGGCTGAGTCAGAAAGATCACTTGAGCCCAAGAATTTGAGGCCAACCGGGAGAGCAGAACAAAACTCTGTCTCTCAAAAATAAAAGACCCTGATCACTTATTACCAGCCCTCTCGAGGTTTGAGGAGAAGTAAATGTATAATATACATAGAGTAAGTATCGCTTATCTAAATGCTTGGGACCAGAAGTGTATGGGACTTTTTGGCATTCTGGAATATTTGCATGTACATAATGAGGTATTTTGGCATGGAAACCAAGTCTAGACTCAAAATTCATTTATACATAGTCTAACGGTAATTTATTTTTAGAGCACCTGTGTGGTTTTTGCATTTGTTTGTTTTCTTTGTGTATGTGTGTTAGTTAAGCCCAGGGGCCTAACACTGAGCTACATCCCCAGTACATTTTTTTTTTTTATTTTTGAGAGAGTCTTGCTAAATGGCTCATATGGGCTAGAACTTGGAGTGCTCCTGCCCAAGCCTCCCAGAATTCTGGGAAGTGTGCACTACCATGCCTGGCCTAGTACCAGTGCTTTGATTGTTCCATTTCATGAGGTCAGGTGTGAGATTTTCCACTTGCATGTCAGGGCTCAAAAAGTTTGGAGCATTTTGGATTTCAGATTTTCAGATTGAAGATGCTCAATCCTAAATACTTTGAACAGCCCTCTTGGTTTCTTTTTTTCTTATTCTTTTTTCTTTTTCTTTTCTTGTTTCTTATTGTGAGTGCAAAAGAGATGGTAATGATATGATTTTCCAGGTACTGTTCAAACCCATCAAAGACTTCTCACAGCAGCCCCATGAAAGAGATGCTACTATCCCCACTTTATAGGTAAGAAAACAGAGTCTCGCCCAGGTTAATTAAACACCTGCCTCCCAGTCACACAGCTAAATGCATAAGAACTGAGATTTAGAACCAGACCTGACTGATTCTAAAGTCCTTCCAAACTCCTGACCCTCCACCAAACCAGGGGATTGTGAGGTTCATGAGAATCTCCTAGCTGAGGGTCCCTTTCCTTTTCTCCAGCTTTCATTCCCATGACATCTGTGGTTACTGTGTCCTTTTTGCCTCTTGCCCTTCTTCTCCATGCCCCAGAGGAGTCAGAATATGGCTGACCCAAAATAGGTGGAAGGGAACAGTTATTTAAAGGTTCTAGGCACTGTGCCCAGTAATTTTTCTTTTCTTTTTTTAAAAAAGAAGTCTCACATAATCCTCAAAAAGCTGCATGGGAAATAAAAAGTAGCATGGAGAAGTAAAGAAACTTTTCCAAGATCACATAGCTAGTAAGAACTAGAGGACAAAGTCAAACCCAAAGCTGTCTCCCTCTGGAACCTCTGGAAGACTCCGTGTATTTGTGCACCCGGAAGAGGGGTGTGCTGCAAGGCCTCGGGCACTTCTAGCCAGAGACACTCAGCAGTATTCACAGTTGGCTGCCAGAGAAGGGTGCCGGTGCCAGGCTACCCCTCAGCAAGACGAGCTCCTTTATTTGGGTGCTGGGTGCATTAGCTGCCTCTGAATAAATTCTTAATTAGCTGCCCCAGCTGTATTTGCATAATGGATTTCACTTTGTTCTTAAGTTAATGGTGTTTCTGCAACAGAACAGTAACCTCTTGGTTCCTGGCCATTAAAATAACTGTCACCCTGTGGGGTAGAGCAAGGGTTATGTAAAGGAAGTTCAGTTAGAGGTACAGAGGAGAGGAGAGGGGAGGCAGGGCGATTTAAATTCCCCATTGCATGACAGATTTTCTGCTTACCTCCCCAGATATCCGAAAGGTGGGTTACCCAGCAATACTAAGGGTTACAGGGAGCCACAGGGGAACAGGGAAATGACTTCCAGCTCCCTCCCTGAAAGTAATCTGGCCCAAAGACCCAGTAGGAAAATTAGGATAGTGAGGAGTATGGAGGACCAAGAAAGCAGCTTCCTTCTCCTCCATTTCAACACTTCCCTAAAAGAAGTTCCACCGACGTGTAAATAGATTCCAGCCAGGTCCTTGCCAGTTTTCCAGCGCTGGTATTTGCCCTCAGTACTCTGTACCAGTACTGTTCCAAAACAACCTCTACTCGCTTTGGACACAGGGTCTACCCCGGTCCTGGAACTCAGAGCCTGGACTCGGTGGGACTTCTGGGGTAAAAACAACCACCCTTGAGCAGAGAGCTTCATCCCATGGCATTTCAAGTGTTCAAATGGCTTGATTCAAGGAATTCCTCCCCTCCCACCTGTGCAATGGGGTTCCAGCCTCCTTCTCCAGCTGAGCCCACATCTGATAGCACTCGTTCATCATCTGGGTGTAGAAGTCTTGAGAATAAACCTTTCGGATTATGCGGCTCTGTCCATGGGAGCTTCCTCGGGAGTGTGGGAGAAAGAACTACAAGTGAAGAACAAATAATAATAATAATAATAATAATAATAATAATAATAGTAGCCATTGCCCCTTTTGCTGAACCCCTCTCCAGGAGCTATCTCATGTGTGCTGTCAACTGGAAGCTACTGATTCTTTTTTTTTTTTTTTAAGTTTTTTTTATTTAGTGTGTGTGTGTGTGTGTGTGTGTGTGTGTGGCCAGCTTAGCCCACCAGGGGGCGGGGCTGGCTGGCATGTGGTGCAGGGGGATTGAACCACGGTCTATGTTCTTTGCTAAGCTTGTTCTAAGTAGGTGCTTTAGACCACTGAGCCATCTCACCAGCCCCACTACTCATTCTTTAAATACTTCCATACAATCTTTCAAAATGTTCCCTTTATGGCCAGTTTACTGTCTTGGTGATCAAGCCAGAAATTTTTCAATGGCATTCACTTCAGATTCCTTTTTGCAAACATGGCTTGCATTTAGAAGTCTCTCTCTTTTTTTTTAAAGGCTAAAGAACATTTATTTTTTATCATTAATTATATTTATTGATACATTCTAAGTACACATAATGATCACATTCATAATAGGGAATTTGTACCTGTAAACAACACAATTTGATTCTTTATTTCCCATTCCCCTACCAATCCTTTAATCCCTTCTCCCCTCCTTCTTTTTTTTTTTTTTTAATTTTATTTATTTATTTATTTATTTATTTGTGTGTGGCCAGCTCAGCCCACCAGGGGCTGGGGCTGGCTGGCATGTGGTGCTGGGGGATTGAACTGTGGTCCCTCTGCTTTGCTAAGCTTGTTCTAAGTAGGTGCTTTAGACCACTGAGCTATCTCGCCAGCCCCTCCCCTCCTTCTTGACAAAAGCTTTGTTTCTTTTCTTCTCTTCCTTTCCTGCCCCCCTCCCTCCTTCCCTTTAGAAGTCCCTTTGCTGGCCAGTCTTCAGTCATCTAGGTGCAATCTGACCCTGTAGCAGGAACTTAGAAGCTGGGCCTACAGATACCCAATGGGTAAGCAGAAGCAAGGGGAAGTTTGGCATCTCTGCCTACATGGGGGGAGGGGTGGCTTAGGGACAGGGTCTCACTTCATAGTTCAAACTGGTTTTGAATTCACTATGTAGGCCAAGTTGGCCTCAAACTCATGGTGGTCCTCCTGTCTCACCTTCTGGAGTGCTGGGATTTACAGGCATGCACTACCATGCCCAGCCTTGCCTTCCTTTAATATATCTCCTTTATTACTTTTAAAACTTTGTGTCAGATCTCTGCTCAGCTTTGTATGTAGGCAGGTTAGGTGCTATGCTGCTGAGCTAAATCCCTGGCCCCACCTAGCTTTTCTTATCTGTCTTCAAGACTGAGGACATCAAGCCAGGCATGGTGACATACGTCTGTAATCCCAGCACTCAGGGGCAGAGAGGAAGGAGATCACTGTAAGTTTGAGGTAACCTGTACTACATAGTGAGACCCTGTCTCAAATAAAACAAGCCCACAAGACTAAGGACACATAAAAATAAATAAATAAAATTTTTGTACATAGCAAAAAAAAAAAAAAAAAGACTGAGGACACAAAGTTAAGAATATCTAGAATAGGGGCCGGGGAGATGGCTCAGTGGAATAAGCGCTTCCCTGGAAAGCGCAAGGGCCTGAGTTCAATCCTCGGTTCTGCAAAAAAAAAAAAAAAAAAAAAGAATATCTAGAATAATTTTCGGGGCTAGGGAGATAGCTCAGTAGAGTAAGTGCTTGCCTGGCAAGGGCAAGGTCCTGAGTTCAATCCACGGTACTGCAAAAATAATAATAATAATAATAAATTTCAGGATTTGTAGGCATATCCAATTGCCAGCTTTTGGGCTGGCCAAATAGCTCAGTGGATTAAAGTGCCTGCAAGCAAGTGCAGGGACCAGAGTTCAATCCCCCGGCCTGCCATGCCAGCCCTGCCCTCGGGGCACACTGATCCTGCAACTGAGACTGGGCATGGTGGCACACGCCTGTAATCTTAGCTCTTGGGAGGCTGTAAACAGGCAGATCACTATGAGTCTGATCTAGTAGTGAGACCCTAAATACCCTGTAGACCCTTCCCCAAAAAATACAATTGCCAGCTTTTACAACATCCAGTTCCAGACCCCCTGGAGCAATGCTTAGAATCTTCCAGCCATTGTCCTAAAACTTCAGTTACCTTGGATTCCAGGAAAAGGAGAGCCTTTTACACGTAGAAGCCCTCATCCAAACCTCGAAGAACCAGCACTGAGACCTCAGATCAACCAGATCATGACCAAGATTACCTGCTCTGACAACCATGCAAACCCCCAACCCTTGTCTTTGTTCCCCCTTCTTATAAAACCGCAAGGTTTGTTTCAGCTCTTAGAAGACTGAACTCAAACATCTTCATGTGTCCTTTGGGCACGGCCATGCTGATTAAGGCCTTATTTCCCTGCCCTTCACCACCACTTTTCTCTCCTTTGTTGGTGTTTTGGGAACAGGTGGCCAAACCTGGTCCACTGGGACCACTGGAAACTGGTCTTTTGCCCTAACAACCCCTCACTTAGACTCAAAAAGGAGAAGTAAACAGCATCTTCTAGATTATTCTAATCTGTCCACCTCATTAATGAATGAAAAAAACTGATAACCCTTTCTCTGTGGCTTCAGGTCACTCAGAATAAGAGAACTACCTTGGGATTTAGCAAAAGGTGGAGTGTTTTCCTAAGAGGATGAATGAGGAATCCCCTGGGCTTTGAGCAAACTGATGGAGAAATGAAAATTTCATTACTGGGAAGAGTAAACTACAACCCATCCAGAGAGCTGCAGGCAGAATGGAAAGAGAAGGCAAGCCCTCTGAGATAGAAACCTTCACAGATGGATGGCCCAGCCTTCTGAAGGACCCTACAGCTACCCAGGGCCCGCTCACTTGAGTTACTACTAGTGCACTGACTGGGATCACCTTCCCTTTAGGGAAAAATAAGACCTGAGTCTTACTTCCTTTGTGTCAAGCAGGGCAACTGCTCTTACCAGAGGTGACAGTAAAAAGAAGCTTTGGTTCTGGAATGTCAACCTTTGCCTCTTTACTTAATTTTATTTATTTATTTATGTGTGTGTGTGTGGCCAGCTCAGCCCACCAGGGGGCGGGGCTGGCTGGCATGTGGTGCTGGGGGATTGAACCGTGGTCCTTGTGCTTTGTTAAGCTTGTTCTAAGTAGGTGCTTTAGACCACTGAGCCATCTCACCAGCCCATGCCTCTTTACTTAAAGTTACCAAAGCAGAACTGATTATTTTTCTGGCCTGAACCAACCAGCTGGACACTGAAGAGACAAGAGAGCAAGCCTGGAGTGGTGGTGCACACCTGCAATCCCAGCACTCAGAGAGGCTGAGGCAAAAGGCTCAAGAGTTCAAGCTCAGCTGGGAAACAGCAATTTAGTGAAATTCTGTCTCAAAATTTAAAAATGAAAAAAAAAAACAAAACCTGGGAATATAACTCAGTGCAAAGGCCTTAGGTTCAGTCCCCAGGACCAAAGACGAAGAGAAGAAGAAGGAAGAAGAGGAAGAGGAGGAAGGAAAACAACCTGGGCTGGGGGTGGCGGTTTATATCTAGAATCCTAGCACTTTAGGCTGAGGCAAAAAGACTGCCATGTCTCAAAATGCATGCGTGCACACACATGCTCATGCACGCGTGCACCATTAAAAAAGAAAAAAAAAACAAAAAAAAAACAGGCCATGAGACAGTTCTTAGCTGAGGGTAAAAATTGAGAGGTAGTGAAAAGAAGAAATGAGTCTGGAAACTCTGCTGCATGAGTTTGAGAGAGAATGGAATTTGTTTCTAATTGTCATAAAACGTCAAGCAACCAAACTCCAAAACTACAAAGAAATTGTGATGATTCCAGCCTTTTGTCTTTGCCCTATAACCTGCAACTCTGGAAAGCCCTCCCAGGCACAGTCCTTCAGGAGAGAAGGGCAGAGTCGCACAGTACCTGCTCCAGCAGAAGGACCCTCTTCCCATGTTTGGCCAAATGGTATGCAGTGAAGCAGCCCTGGACGCCTGCCCCAATCACAATGACATCCCAGAGATCTTTCTGAGCAGCCATGGTGCCCACTTAGCCACAGAGCCAAGAAGGAGAAGGCAAACAGGCAGCTCCAGGAGGAGGAAGGCAAAGTCCAGCCTGGCCTGCGTTCCCACAATGCCCTGGGGCTGTGTCCTTTGCATTCGCCCTCCCCCAGAGCCTGGCACAGGGCTTGGCCTCCACCTCCCCTGCAGAGCAGAGCTGGTAGTTTGATTTGTGAGATTTAGCCCAGCTCAGCTGCCAGTCTCACCCTTACATCCCTCTAGCTTTCTATTCTTGGCTCAATTATTGTCATGCAAATGGACTCCTTCCTAGGCCACCTTCCTGTCTCATTATGATCTTTGTCTCAGGACTTCAGCCCTGGAATTTCAATGCCTCCTAGACCAAGCTGGGCACTGGGAATGCTGCCTCCCCCTGCTGGCTTTCCACTCTTCAGCCTAATTTCCTTTAGAGAGTCCACAGGCTAGCTAAGAACTTGGCGAGATGCCCAGGATAAGGCCCACCTCCCTCATGGGTGGTTAGGTCAAGGGGTAGAAGGGGGCCAATTGGAAGGGCAGTTTTGTGATTATGAAATTATTCTCAGCATGTGTTACTTTCACTGGGGAAAAAGGAAAATAAATGATCCTGAAAAAAAAAAATGGTAAGGACAGAGTGAGAGGAGGAGCCCTCTCCTCAGGCACAGAGAAGGAATTGGGCACCAACCTAGTACATGGAGGAGCCCTGCATGGAATATCCCTCAGTGTGAGGCAGCATGCTAAATAAGTGCTGTCACCTGCATTGGGATGGAGCCAGAGTTTTAAAGTCCTGATTCTTATATATTTAAAAGTCTACTTTAAAACAAAAGAAATGGGGGCCGGGGAGATGGCTCAATAGAATAAGCACTTCCCTGGCAAGCACAAGACCTGAGTTCAAAAAAAAGAAATGGGAGCTGAGGGTGTAGCACAGAGGCAAGGCACATACTTTATCACATTTAAGCACTAGATTCAGTTCCATATCATTGCACCTGCTTAGGCAGAGTGCAGCAACCGGGGTTCGATCACCGGCGTGCTCTGCTGATTCTGCCCCCGGGTGCACTGAGAGGGCAATTGAGACTGGGCATAGTGGCACCCGCCTGTAATCCCAGCGCGTGGGAGGCTGAAAACAAGAGAATCACGACAAGTCTGATCTCTGAGTGAGACCGTGTAGACCCTGTATGACACACATTTTTTTAAAAAAGATATTATTAAATTAAGGAGCCCTATGGTTGAAGTTTCATTAGCTTCATGGTAAATCTGCCTCTGAATACATTATCTTATTAAATCCTCACAGCCCCCAAAATGAGTATTGTTATGGCCACTTTGGGGAGATTGAAGACAGCCCCAAGTTCTTTTTTATTCTTCCCATCCCAGGCTCTGTGGCTCTTTAACCATAGAACGTGGTTGAATACACGACTCTTTCTGATCTCCACAGCTTCTTCTTCTTGTCCTTGTTCTTAGAGCCCTGAGCTCCCATCTTAGAAATCCAACCACCATGTGGAAGAGACCAGGTAAATATAGGGCCTCAGGACAATATTGAGAGCCAGTCCTAAGAGGAGAGCCATCCTGAACCCTCCAGCCCAGCCTGTCCACCGATTAGAATTGCTGAGTGACCCAGTCAATGCCATGTGGCACAGAAGAATTGTTCAGCCAAGCCTCTTTGGAATTCCTGACCCACAAAATCATTGTTTTGTTTATTTATTTATTTATTTATTTATTTATTTATTTATTGGTATCTGGGATTGAACTCAGGACCTTGTGCTTGCCAGGCACTTATTCTACTGAGCGATCTCCCCTTCCCCCTGACCCACAAAATCATGAGGTAGAATAAAATGGTAGTTGTTTTCAGCCACTAGGTTTGGAGGGTAGTTTTTTACACAGCCATAGCTGAAACACCACTTAACAGCTAAAGATAGTAAGGCCTAGAGGGGTTGGGATTTACCAAAGCTGCACACTTGGCATATGCAGGTGCTGAGCATGAACCCAGGTCCGTCTGCTTAAGAACCTTTCCCTTTAAACACTATGCTATGCTGAAGATTAGTCAAAGCTTATAGTGATGATTCTGATTTCAGTATTTTGCTGTTTTTCTCGTGACCATACGGTGAGTGGGAGAAAACAGGCATTCGGGAAGCCCATATGACTATAGGAAGCTAGCTGCCCAGCCTCAGCACAGTAGTCCATCGAGACCCTAGCAACCTTTTTCATTCCACAAATAATCCCCCAGAGTAGCCGTAGCAACTAGCTGTCCTCTCAGCCCAGCCCTTCCTTTCCTAGAAAAAAAAAAAAGGAGCCCAGAGAGGGGTGCCATCTGACTTTCCTTCTGGAAGAAAAAAAAAATCATTTTAGAGTCTAAAGGTCATCTCAACTCTGTGTCACCCCCTACACCCCACATGGGACAATCTAGCATCTGCCTCACAATTGGACAGCTAGCTCTCTTAGAGCAAAAAATAGCAGACATAACCAAGAAAAATATACTATACTAAGTATGTAAAGCCTTGATAGAAATCTATAAGATCAACCTCTGGATTTCTCTTGATAAGATGTCAGAGGAGATGAAGCGTTTACACACAAGGAAAAGCAGACAATAAATCCTTCCATGGAAGTATGCCCAGTCTCACTAGCAATGAAAGAAATGGAAATTAAATAACTGTAAGGTACTGTCATATGCCTATTAAATAAACAAAAATGAATTAAAATGACACAATCTTATGTTGTCCGTGCTACAAAGACAGAAATAGAGCAAGGTGGCAATTCAGACTGCCTGGATCTTTTCTAACATGCTGGGTCAGTGCTCAACAACCAGGGTAAAATGATTCAAACATTCTGACCCAGAAATTCTACTTGAAGAACTATTTCCCAGGGGGAGAGAGAGGCAATTGCATGGAGACATGCATATAGATCTGTGTTTTTAAAATATTAAAAAAAAAAAGGGGGCTGGTGAGATGGCTCAGTGGTCTAAAGCACCTACTTAGAACAAGCTTAGCAAGAAAGCACAGGGACCGCGGTTCAATCCCCCAGCACCACATGCCAGCCAGCCCCGCCCCCTGGTGGGCTGAGCTAGCCACACACACACACACACACACACACATAAATAAAAAAAATAAATAAATAAAATAAAATATTTTTTTAAAAAAACCCTGGAAACTGGCCAACAACAGCAAATAGCTGAACAAATTCTGGAATAGTATGTAGCTATTCCAAATGACAGGCATGGGGACTCTGCACTGTATGGCAGGACATATAAGAAATGCCACTCAGAAAGAGATGCAGAGCACAAATAAGCCCACACTGATCACAACTGTGTGTTCTGTTATCAAAGATCTAAAGAGAATTTGGTGAGGTAATTGAGCTTAATGCTCATTAGTTCCCGTATTTTATAAAACATGCTTCCATTCACAAGTTAAAAAAAAAAAAGGAGAAATTCCCTGGGGAAGTAGATACTTCAAATCTCCCTGGTCACTGGTTCCAGGTCCCAGGAAGGTTCTTTCTTTGTTCTCTTTTCGGTTTTTCCTGCTGCCCCCGACACTTCTTATTGTTCAGTCCTCCAGGGAAGCCGTGAAGCGGCTCTGTAGTCCGCCCCTCCACCCCTTTTTAATATAATATCCCTTCAGAGATAAAATGACAATTCCATTTCCCCATCCCTACTTCACAGGCTGCCCTGTATTCCTGGACTCAAGCATTCTTCTTGTTAAGAATTTCAAACAGCTCCTCCGAAAGCAGACACTGGCCACGGCCCAACCTTGAAATGAAAAGCAAATGGACTTCTGAAGGCTTTCCCTTCTCTCAGGTTGCCGTCCTTGTGGATGTCCTGACATGGGCAAGCAGAGAGATGTGATCCCCTCAAATTCCATTTTAACACTCATTCTGGATCGGAAGACTATTAAAGGGAGAGCCAGCAGCCCTACACCTTGCTGCTTGTGTGTCAGCAATCGCTGCTCATGTCCTGGGGCAGAGACGCCGAGGATGTGAGGCTGAGCTGCTCATTCGATGGCTTGATTGACACTTTGCAGACAGGGGTGGGAGAGTGGAGCTAGGGAAGCAGCAAGCTGTACAGCTCAGAAATAATGAGAGGACCCGAATGGAGAGAAAGCACGGAATAAATAAGAGAGACCTTGGAGTTAAATGGTGAGGGAGAGGCTTCTGTTCTATTTTCCCTACCCCGTTTCACCAAGAGACTGGCGCTTGAGGCAGGGAGCCAGGCAGACCCGGAAGATCCCCTTCGGACCCATCCTGCCAGCTGCCAGGAGTGACTGGGGCTCCACAGAGCGGAGGATGCCAGTGTGAGAACGTGCAGATCAGGCTTCGCGCACAGCTCGGTGTCTCTGACCCACTTCCTGTCTCAGGTCGAATCCCCACTCCTTCATCCCTGGTCCCTTGGCTCCTGGGCAGCCATGCATCGTGGCTCACCTGGAGGATTGCATTAACCTCACGACCCATCCTCCTTGCTTCACCCTTGGCCCTCTTAACCTGTCCTCCTTGTTCCTGCTAGAGACAGCTCTCTAAAAGGCAATTCTGAACAGGTCACTCCCTGCTGAAAATGTTTTCATAGCTGTCCACTTGCTATCAGAAGAAAAATCCAAACTCCTTAGCCTGGCACACTGGCTCCTGCCTGTTCTTGCAGCTCTGTTGTGGCCCCTTCTCCCCGTGCTGTGGCGACACTGAGCTGAGAGAGGCTCCAGTGTTCACTCTGGTTATCCCAAGCTCCCTGGTACCCGAGCTGAATTAGACAGCTTCTCTCCTATACTCCCTTTCCACCCTGTGGAGTCTCAGTGATAACAATGTGCACATTGTTGTAAGTGTTTCCATGTCTGCCTTCCCCTTAAGCCTCTTAGAGAGAGGGAGTCCTCTTTTCATGTCATTTTTCATAGCTAACGCATACATATGGGACAACAATAAAATGAACAAAAGGAAACACAGTGGTCTCCTTTCCACCCTGTCTTCAGTGCTCAGTTCTCCCACCAGATGCAACACTATTTCCTTTTGTTGTTATTTTCCTTTTTTAAAAAGTTATTCTGTGGGTATATAAACAAGCTTACAGATATAGGTACAGATACAGATATATTAATCTCAAAACTAGCAGGCTA